GTGGGTGACTAGTAACCTTGTGATCTGATTTTAGTAATGAGAAGTAGAGACAATAAGGCAAGAGAGGACTTTGAGTAGTTATCTCCTTTGGACCCACAGTTGCAGAGTTCATTTCACTCTGTGACTTTGAGTCTAACTATATGATATTGCTATGAAATCTTTAGCAGGCCACTTGTTGGTTTGGTGGGAAATGGAGGTTTCCCATGGCCCCTGGCCATTTTCTAATTGTGAATGGCTACATGAGGATGATAACTATATTCCAATTCATATGTCAACTTCTTTCTTTTGGTTCTCATTTCTTGTCGTATTATGTCTTTATTATTAGCTGTCAAACTACTCTCTATCAGGGGAAACAAAAAACGTTATGCATTGTATATTGATAAGTTCCCTAGATGTGTACAGTATTCTTAATCCACTATTCTATTGCATATATATTAGGGATTTTTGTTTATTATTCCATGTTTTTATTTATTAATTCATTTAAACAAGTTTTTAAAAAAGTGAGCAACTTTCACATTTAAAGCATTGTATCTGATGTGGGGGTTATAATTAGAAATGTGATATTCAAGAATTCATCAGAGGGGCTGGGGCTGTAGCTCAGTGGCAGAGTGCTTGCCTGGCCCATGTGAGACAATGGGTTCAGTCCTTAGCACCACATAACAAAATGAAAAATAAAATAAAATAAAATAAAATAAAGGCATTCTGTCCATCTACAACTACAAAAAAATTTTAAAAAGAATTCATCAGATGAATAACTATTCATATAATTATAATGTAGTATTTTACATGTTATCATGGGGGAAATAAAAGGCAGAATGGGAGCAGAGAAAGTATAGGTAGCTTAGAATTCTGGGAGCTTGGAGGCCTTGCTGCACTGTGATTTGGACAATGTCCAAGAGTTGGAGACATGGATTTTGGTTGGGATGGGTATGGGCAGGGATGGGTGCTAGTATGAAGAACTACATGTATGAAATTTCAGAGACAGGCTACTCTGACATCATTCTTCGAGGGCCAGGGTTTGGGAGAGGGATCAAAAAACCTTAAGTTGACTGAAGCATCAAATGTGTGGGTAAAATGTTAAAATATGAGCATAACATGGAAGATTCATTTAGAAGAAGGAGTAGCAAAAATCCTGGAGAATATGCTCATTTCTAACTGACTATGTGATACTGGAAAGAAATTATACTTCTTTGGTTCTTAGTTTTATTCTCCATAAATGAGGGTGACAATGAAGTGACCTCAGAGGTTCCATGAACTTATAAACTATAAAGTCAAAGCTCAAGAGGTCCCTTTGCACAAAAGTTTCTACAAATGGCTTGTTCGTGGGATTGTGGTTTGTCAGCAGTGCTCTAGCCTAGAAGTCTGTATAAGCAACAGAGGCTTGATCTATATCTTCTTTCCTCTGGAAAGTTCATCCAGATCCTCATTCCACATTTTATTCTGCTACCATGCACACACTGCATATGTTAAGAAGAACAATGCTAGTTTTTTAAAATGAATTATGACAAAGTCTAATGTTTCTGTTTTGTAAATACTTATCAAGTCAATTCTAAAAAGTTAAATTTAAAGAAAAGTAACATTTCCTGATAGCCTACTTGAGCAATGTTAATTGCTTGAGGTATTTATTAATATAGTAATGAAATGCCTTCTTCTAGGATAAAGTTCTGGAAGTAAGCTTCAAATTGGGGAGGAAAAATCTTTAAAATTAATATATGGGGCTTATTTGTAGTAACCACCTTTCAGAATCAATGGTAAGGGCAGAAGTGGCAACTTTTCTGTTCTTTTTATGCTTGCAAACTATGAAAAAGTGGTCAACCTATAAATAAAAACATGCTCTGTATATTAGCAAAATGACTATCTCATTTCTGTAAAAAATCAGATGGCATTATGCAATTCCACCTGCTACAAGTTGAGTGATTTGGGTCTTTAATATTTTTGCGAACACATATTAAAGATGCATGAAAGTCTGTGTATTATGTACCAATCTTCTATTTCTCTAGGATAAATGATAAATGGATTTTAATACTCTTTCACCATTTTTTATGAGTTGTTCAAAACATTACAAAGCTCTTGACATACCATATTTCATACATTTGATTCAAGTGGGTTATGAACTCCCATTTTTACCCCATATACTCTTTCGCTATTGGTGACCAATGAAATGCATTTATTTGAATAGTATCTGGGTATAGGAGTGGAATATTTAGCTAAAATATTCCACAAACAATGTTTTGCTAACTAAGGGTCAATTAAAAAATTCTGTGAATCTGTTTGGGTCACATTGTTATAGGAAACATAGCTCTTGTCTCATTTTCTTTGATCTCAATATACATAAAGTTGCAGGTGGCATCATAGAGCTGGAAATTGTCTTCAAGGTGACACAACCCATCATCTGTGTTTTTTCAGATTTTTAGATCTTAGTTAATTCTAGTCAATCCAGTCAATGCACTTTTAATAATTTCAACCAAACTTTATTATTGGTTTATTTAAAAAAACTGTAAGGTGGGATTTCACAGCAATATCATATAGTCAGGCTCAGGAAAGGCAAGGTAATATCCTAAGGAAATCTGGTTCTCTTCAGGTGTAAAAGTTCTTGCATTTTAATTTTTTATAAGGAATATATTTTTTTTGTAGTCAAAATCTTTATATTTACTACTCTATACAAGAACAAACTCTTCGATGCATGTTGGCTTTTTCACTATTTGGGTTCTTGTATACAGTCCCAATTTCTATGATGCCTTGTACTCTGATGATTCTCCTTTTATATACCTCCAAGTTCCCAAGGCCAATGAATACCTTCTTCCTGAGGGATCATCGTATTCTATTCATTAAGAAATGAGGTCTCTTTCCCCTGAATCTTGAGTTTTGTATTTTTGGCCAGACATCACATCTAGCTCCACGCTGCAGTTATTCCTGTATTCAGCATGTTGCATTCAGGGACCAAATGGGCAATGACCTAAAGGCAGTGATTAGATTTGCCAATGTGTCTAGCACAAACTCTTAGGTGCTTCATGAATGTATGCAGATTGGAAATATTTCTGAAATGTCAAATAGTAAACTGCCATTGAAAATAAACCCATAAAAGCAGGGATTTTTTGTAGCTACTTAATTTTATGCTGAAAGGTCATTTTAAAACTTTGGGCTTTTCAGTTTGGTAATCAAGTTACATTTTAATCTCTTTGTCATATATATGCTAAAAACAATGAAAGCTGAAAACAATGAAAGCTTATTTTCACAGTGCTTTTTCTTTCACTGATCATTTTTATTTTTACATGTGTTCTTCATATGGTCTCTCAAGAGAGCAGGAACCCTAATCCCCATTTTGTAAACAGGAACAGTGGCATAGGCCAAGGCAGCCATTTGGACTACATAGTGACTGAATGGAGGCCTGGGCACTCTTCAAAAGAGACTCACAGCTCTTTTATTGCTGACTCCTAAACCATTTCTCACAATTGCCCACTTTCACACTTGATCTATGCCCTCTCATGTTTTATAAAATTTTGGGTAAAAGTTGCATGTGTAAGATATACAGACACAGGCACACAGATGTATGTATGTGTGCACGTGCATGCACACACACAAATACTCACCAATGTCCACCTTGGAGCAATTCAAATGCCTTATTGATACTTTCAAAAGGCAATTTATGGGTTATAAGTGGGTCTATATTGATTTTCTTTTGAAGGTAGTCAGTTACCATTTTAGGAATACAGCTTCTGGTTTTATACTCTGTAGAAGGAAAGGACAAAAATAGCAAGACCTGAAAGTAACAAAACTAACCAAAGAATCCAATGAACTATTTGTGTATAAAACTGGCAAAAGCATTCATGGGAGGTAGTCATACATTCACCTTTTAATCCTTTTTCTCGGCATCAAAAGCAAAGGCAATTTATTCCAGATCCTCCACATCTGGGTGCTGCTCAGGAGTGTTAAGATCATTCAGAGTCATTGAGGAGCCCTGTATAGATAAGCCTAGTGGACTGGCAGAGCAGACACAATGCTGTCATGGCCCCTACCTCTGCCCTGTCATCAGGACACTAATTTTTTCTATACCAATTTAACTTCTAGCTGGTTCAATTTGAGTTACTACAGTTTCCCACCACAAGGATATATATATATATATATGAACACAAACTTCACAAACCTAACATTTCAATCTTTGAAATAAACCTAATCGTGTAGTGGCGTTCGAGGGCAGGGAAGTAGAGTAGCTGTGTTAGATGCTATTGGAACCCTACCTAGATCCCATTTACTATAATCACCAGAAGCAAGGCAGATGCAGGGATTGTTTTCTCCATTTTTGTAACTGTGAGGACTAAAGTTCAGAGAGGTGAAATATGTTTCACTGATTATATTTATATATATATTTAAAATTTTCCATATTTTAAAATGCTTTGACATATTGAGGGCTTGGGGACCTGGGGAAGAACCATTCCTTCCAAGGTTAATTAGTTCCAAGGAATAATAAACCACTTGTCTGACATGCTCACCAACCAGCCCAAGCCTTTAAGCCCTGTCCCTCCCCTCCCCTTTTATCAGGCTTCACAGTGGGACAATATATCTCTGTCCTAAATTACCCCAGGGCCATTTACCAGGTAACTAGAGAACACACTGTATCTCAGAAACCATTGAAATGATTTCAATTAATTCTAAAATTTCTGAGTTTTATTACTCTGTCTTCTATTGCTTTCAGTAAATATTATAATAAAGACAATGACCCATGATTCCCATGTCATTTTGAAACCAGAGCAAAGGATAGGTAGCTGATTTATCAAAGAAAAGGAAGTGGGTAGATAGCACTTTCGCATTAATTGTTGGCTAACACCTCTCCCAGGCAGGGGAAGGAGGCATTTTCTAACTTAAGCAATAAGCCCCTGGGCTGCTCTTTTCCTACCTTTTGCTCATATAGTCAAGATAAGAAGAGAAGGCATGAGAAGAAAAGAAACTTAAAATCTAGAAAGAGGCAGGATACCCCCACTTCCCTGGATACAGCTCTGGGTCTCCTTCTCCCTTTTAGAGAAGTCTGTGTCTGTTCTATCCCTTAAATAAAATTTGTTTTCTTTCCTTGGCATTTCTAGGGTGTTTAATCTTCAATAACAGGGGAAAGGAGGACCTGATCCTGACTTTAGATTTCTGTCTCCTGATTGAGCCTAGTGCTTCCTTGTATGGCCCTACATGGAGTGAAGTGCCCCCTTCTCTTAAGAACTGAGGTAATATACTCTTCTTTCAAGGCAATTATCTATGTGTATGTCTTCTTATGATAGTTGATTAAAACAAATCCTGGGGATGGAGGTATATTTTACAACATTAATATAGATCTAGAAAGTATAAAGTTAAACCTAGAATCCAGGTCTTTATATTCCTAGTCCAGTTCTTTATAGCCATTTAGAATTTATTGAGGACTATTATGAAATGTTAATTAAGATGAGATTAGCAGGGTGCCATGGCACACAGTCCCTCAGGAGGCTGAGGCAGGAGGATCAGGAGTTCAAAGCCAGCCTCAGCAATTTAGCAAGGCCCTAAGTAGACTCTGTCTCTACATAAAGTATAAAAAGAGGCAAGAGATATGGCTAAGTGGTTAAGCACCCCTGAGTCAATCCAGTGACCCCCCAAAAAAGGTTAAATAAATCAAATTCATAAAGTTAAGGGTAAGGGTACCCTTAACTTTCCTCTCTTATGTGAAAGCTAGAGAAGAGAAAGGAAAATAAAGTTGGGGTTGGAGCTCATGCAAATCAAAGGGAGATCAGTAGAGAAAAGAGACCAAGGGGTGGGAAGCAGGGAGGGAGAGAGAGAGTGCTAGAGAGTGATATTTGCCAAATTATATTGTTATATTTTGTATTGTGTGTTTGTACGAATATGTAATAAAAATCTCATGAATATGTACAATTATAATGCACCAATAAAAAATGTGGGGTTGGGGGAAGATGGGATTAAAAGGAAAACTTGAACTCCTTTAAAAAAAGAGATAGCCAGCGTATTTTTTATCAGAACCCAGGCTACAAAAATTTTCTGTTTCTTAATAAGTGTATTAACCAGATTCCCAATGCTATGCCTGAGATAATTAACTTAAAAGTTATCATATTTCTGGAAGTTTCAGTTCAAGATTGGAGAGGGGTAGGACATTACTTTGAGCCTCTAGGACTGCACTTGATGGGGAACATGAGTTAGAATAAAACTGCTTACATCATGAGTAAGAAGCAGGGGAGAAGGAGAATGGAGTCCTACCAGAGTCTCTTTTGAGGGTGTGCTCCCAAAGACCTAAAGACCTCCCAGAAGGCCCCACCTCTTAAAGCTCCACAGCACCTGTCTTCTACACATAGATCATTGAGGGACATTCAACTTCTAAACCATAGCAATAGGTCAATTGGACTAAAATGTTGGGTTATAACATTATTGGTATGCAAAATTTTTGGTAACTAAGAAATCTATCAAATGAAAGTGAGTAAAAGGAAAAGACCATTACACATTTTTGCATCCAGAATGAGAATTTTGTTGTGATTTTCCTTATTGTGTTTATATATTGTATTATGAAGGAGATATGGAAGGTATAAATGTCAGAAAAAAGTGAATAAATTCTTCCATGAAATCAAGGATAATAGTATGGTTTAGATATGATTTTAGTATGCCCCTCAAGGGTTCACATATTGAAATTTACTCCATAGTGTGAGATTTCAAGGGAGTAGAAACAATCCAACTATGGTTTTGTACAAGGAGAAATTGGAGACATTTGGAGAAGAGATAACCAAGTATGATCTACATTGGAGTTGCCTGTTTTGTTGTGAAGAAGACACTTAGGGTGATTGTTGAGGTGAGAACTAAGGGTCAACACAGCAAGATTTTCTTCTAGTCTTATTCTGTACTGGGGAGTGGTTCAGAAAAATATTGTAGCTCTCCACCAATTACAGAATGTGAGAGTGCCAATGAACACCCTAAGATGTGACTCTTCTGTATCTTATCAATGATGTTAAGCTCATCTCCTTTTGCTCCTCTAGGTAATAAATACGAGTGTGGGGAGGTGAAGGTGTACTTTCCTATTTTTGGTACATTGTCTTCTATTTCCTTTCAAAGAGGATTATTTTTCCTATGTTCCTTCCCCTCCACTGCTTGCCAACGAGCACATAGGATGTGTAGGTTTCTGGAAAAGGCAAAATGAAAGTAAAATACTCACTTCCCAAAGCACCACTTTTCAGGGTTCTCCCAGAGAGAAGAAGCGTTGGGTCAAAAATGAGTTGTGAATTTGTGGGTGGTAATCCAATAATCACACCCACTCCGTAGCTTGGGTGGCACGATTCCAAAGTTGCGATCTAATTTCAGAGATGGATGGATTAGCTTCTCAGCAGCCCTAAATTTTCAACTCACAATTGCAGAACATGTTCTCAGGGAGGATGTATGGGAGAAGTCATATAGAGTAGGACAGTATGTAGGACACTCACTATGATTTGAACAAATTGTTTAAATTCATGATGATTAAGTTTTTCAATCTTTAAAATGAGGATAATGTTACTACTTAGCTAGTAAAAATGATATACAGATTAAATGGGATAAAATATATGAATTACTTGGCTCAGTACAAATTATGAAAGGTGCTCATTTTTTTTTTTAGTTATAGTATTATTTTTTTGGTTGGGGGAGGTACTGTTGTAAATGCCTGCAATTTCAAGGTCAGTCCCAGTAACTTACTGAGACTCTGTCTCAAGATAAAATTTAAAAAAGGGCTGGGGATGTAACTCAGTGCTAAAGTGCCTTGAATTCAATCCCCAGTTCCAAAATAAAAGCAGAGATAATAATAATAATTTTATCAGGGCTGAGGTAGAGTTCATGGTTAGCATGTTCCTGACTTTAATCCCTAGCACCCAAACAATTTCAACGTGCCCCAAACCAAAAAAAAAAATAGGCAAAGCAAAACCAAAATTATAGTAATGTCTTCAAGAAGTAATTATAGTAGTGTCTTCATGAAGTTAATAAGTACACTCATATTGACAGGCAGTGCTTCAAGATAACTTACTATGGTTTCAATAAGTCCAATGGCCTCGAAGGCAAAGTCAGCACCTTTGCCAGTCATTTCTACCACCACCTCCTGGACAGGTTTCTTGAGTTTTTGAGGATTAAGGCAATCAGTGACTCCTAATGCTCTTGCCCGAGGAAACTTCTCCTCCTTGATGTCCACCCCAATGATCCTAGAAGCACCAGCGGCTTTGCAGGCCATGACGACAGCTGAGCCAATTCCTCCAAGTCCAAAAATCACACAGGTGGATCCTGGGGTGACCTGCAAATTCAGAGGATAGAATATAATTAGGCATCCAAAGCCGATGCTCTTGTGTTGAAAGAACTTTCCTCTTGTGAGGAAAGAAAAGGCCTCTTTGGCTTTATCTGTGATGGAAGAAGTTCAGAGAAGTTTAGAGAATGGAGTTCAATTTGATGTTATATAGACAGTGTCACTGAAAACAACACAGAAGCACATTCTTACCTTTGCAATGTTAAATACAGGTCCAAAGCCTGTGGGGACCTCACAGGTTAGGATACAGACTGTATCCATGGGAGCATCATCATCAATTTTCCCCACTGCAATTTCATGTACCACAGTATATTCAGTGAATGTGCTTGTGCCATAAAGATGATAAATCTTCCTTCCTCTGCAGGTAAATCTGCTGGTTCCATCTAACATTAATCCAGTTGGAGGAAGAATACTGTGCCACAGTCATAGTGACAAAAAGAGAAATAAAGGATTTAGCTCTAAGTCCATAACTGTACCAATGAAAGCAAATGGGGTAAAAGAAAGTTGCCGCAGTCTGGCTGGGCACAAATCACGAGCCACTTGAAGATTCAAGCAGGAAGGAACTTTATTTTTAGAACCCACCCCCCATTTCGTCCACGCAAACTCTCCAGGACCTCCCCAGGAACTCCCTGAGAGCTCCACCGGAACTTGGGGAACTTTGGGAGCACTCAACTGGAACTCAACCAGGAACTCCACCCACGCGCGAACTCTCTAGGAGCTTCGCCCAACTGGAACTCATCCAACCCACATGAACTCTCTAGGAACTCCGGGAGAGCTCAAAAATAGCGGGCACCTGAGGCAGCAGGAACCACTTGTTCTAGCAACATGCCAGGCACCATCTTGACCTGGCCTTGGCTCTCAACAGAAAGTCAAAGAAATTGAAACTAACCTTTGCTTCAAGCAGAAGTTGCTCTTGGAGTGCAAGCAAGAACTACATTCTCTGCACTCTGGAATAAGGAATATTAAGACTTTATCTCCTAAGGAAAAAGAACAAAGAAAATGATTACCAACTGGGTGGAGACATTGAATGTAATAATCCCCACCTTTATCTATAAGATATTATTCATAGTAAATGTTTGTGATTGGTAGTAATGAAAGTTATCATTATCTTTGAAGTTATTCATAATTTCATTTTGGAATAGAAACAAATCAATTTTAATGCAAATGGATCTTCAAAGTAGAAAAATATGGGGGAATTTATGTCTCATAAAATTGGATTCAAAGGTAAGACAGTGGCATCAATATATGTGGTATAAGGCTCCTCTATTTTGACAGCATTTTCTTTTGTACTGGAGATTGAATTACTCCTGGGTACTCTATCACTATACATCTATACATCTCCAACCCTTTTTATTTTTTATTTTGAGACAGGATCTTGCTAAATTACTTAGGCTTACCTTGAACTTCCATCCTCCTGCCTCAGCCTCCCAAGTAGCTGGGATTACAGATATGTGCCAAAGTGCCTGCCTTATTTGGTAGTGTTCTATCCCAGGAGAAAGATCAAGTTTGCATTTAATATATACTTGATATTTGTTGAAACAATGAGTTAATTCTCCAATATTAATACAACAATTAATATTCATTATGAAATATTTTATTACTGTACAAGAGTCTAAAATTTAGGGAAGGCTTCCTGTGTCCTTAATCCTTGCTCTGCCATTAAGCAGCTAAATTAACAAAATGATTATCTTGCCAAGGCTTCTATTTACTCACAAAGTGGTTTTAAAATATCTCTGTTTATTGGTAGAATAATATATAACACAGTAAAGTTTTTGGAACATGAACAATATGAAAATGCGAACACAAAGCCTGAAAGAAACTTTTATAAATGATACTTATTCCAGACAATTTATAAGATTATTGTGTGTGTTGTGTGTGTGTGTGTGTAGAAAAAAATTGTCAATCATACATATTTTAAATTTACTGGTGTTACAATACATTGTATATATTTTCAATTCTTAGTTTAATTTTGGGTATATAGATTTGCCATAATCTGTATGGAAACGAGTAGATTCTGTTTCTTTGGGGGGAGGGGAGGGAGGGTATCAGGGATGGACTCAGGGGCACTCGATCATTGAGCAGCCACATCCCCAGCTCTATTTTGAATTTTATTTAGAGACAGGGTCTCACTGAATTGCTTAGCACCTGCTAAGTTACTGAGGCTGGCTTTGAACTCGCGATCCTCCTGTCTCAGCTACCCAAACCCAAATGGGAAGATTCTATTTTAGGTTACTTATATCGTGCACTGTATCTGGTATGTGAATGCATTTTAATGTTTTTGTGAAAGTATGATGGATTCTGTATTTTACAGTGCTGTTGGGGAATAATTAAAAAGCTAATTTGAACAGGAGTTGACACCATATCTGGCCCTTACTTACCTGGTTTCACACTGGTTACACCTTCTCCAATACTCTCCACGATCCCAGCTCCCTCATGACCCAAAATTGCAGGAAATGGTACTTTGTTTTTTCCTTCCAGGATGTGCTTATCTGTACCACAGGTCCCAGAGGATATAATCTGAAAGGTGATTATGTGATTGGAGATAAAATGCCTTGTCATAAAGTACTGAATCTTTCATAAAAATGCAATATTTCCAACTTTAGAGGCAGAATATATTCTTTAAAACTTGGGCTATACATTTGAGGCATTATTGATTGTGTCCCTATAATAGAGCTGTTTCAGGAAAAGGACCAAAGCATTTGGTTTATCAGTCTATATAATTTCCCCTAGACCTCTTTAACATCATAAACACCACTGAATTATTTTCTGGCTCTTTGTCAAGAGGAGCTATGCGTTCTGTGAGATTTGATGAAGCACACAACCCAACCGAAACTTGAGCATCTGTTTTGATACATACACTCTAATGGAAGAAACCCTGGGTAATAATATTTATGCTGTTCTCCCTGCCTTGTCCTCTATCTGCCAGTAGAAGAAGCTAAAACACAAGGCTTTTCATGTTAAGTCCCCACCCAGATCTTGGCTTGCTAGTTCATAATATGCAGTTAATATCCAAAAGAATAGGTGAAAGGCCCGCCCACCTTTTCCCCCAATATTCTGCTTTGGTGCACAGTTTTCTTTCCTTTTTCTCTTTGTAATCAGTCTCTTTATCCAGCTATTCTAGTAACAAAGGTAAGTTGGTTTCCCCCCAGGGTAATGAGATTTCACAGCTGAAATGAGTTGGTGGCAAATCAAAGGTTAGCCTCTCATTGCACATTTCACTTGGTACACTCATAAGGCACTATTTCCATTTAGATATTCTCTTCACTGTTTTTTCTCTACTCAACAGTCATTGACCCTGGAGCTTTGATACTTTTTGCAAATCTGATTGCTCAGTTCCATGATGACTTATTTTCTTATTCCTTTTTGATCTTTAGAGGTTGAAAATATTTATTTCTATGGGTTCTGCAAGTGTTTGCTCAGGCCTTTTGCTTGCATAACTGTCCTGCAAGCTCATGTCTCTCTGCCTTGAGTTTTGTCTGCAGGAAATCTCTGATTAATCATGCATCTTGATATTCAATCCCTATTCTATCAGAAAAATAACTGGCTAGGTTTCTCTACAAATAAAAATAATTTTCCTTTTCACTCTTTTGTTTGTTTTTCAAATTACTTTATGCTATTCTCTATCTTTTGTACTTTGAATGAACTTTATGGTCTATACCCCCCTAAACACCCCCCAATTTCAGTGAGCTATTTGAAATGTCCCTGGTTTTCTAGTAGCTAGGCTTTGGCACACTGCATCAACTAGTTCAAAATAAAATTTGAAACCAAGCACCTTATTTATGAAATTAGAACTTAACTAGCAAGATTATTTTCAAGTATAACTGAGAAATTCTACATAGAGTAGTTCAGCTTTCAGTTGTGGCAAGCAAGGCTTTTCCAGATTCAACTTTCCAAGGATAAGTAAAAAAGCTGGCCACAATATATGCAACAGATGACAAGCCATGAAATAAATTAATATTGAGTTTCAACTGATTGAATGTAATGTTAATTCAGTGACATCCTCAGAAATGTATAACCTGAATCTAACTGGGAGATCTCTCATGAAATAAACTGAATAGAATTTGTTAGTCACCTTTGTGTCACTGTAAACAAAATGTCTGACAAGAGCAACTTGGAGTAGGAAGGATTTGTTTTGATTCATGGTCTCAGAGGATTCAGCCATTGGTTAGCTTCGTTCAAGGCAGAAACACCATAATGGAAGGATGAGGCAGAGGAAGGCTGTTCAACTCCTGGAAGCTGGGAAGGGAAGAGAGAGGGGCTGTGGAAAAGATCAACCCTCTGTTATGGTTTGGATATAAAGTATCCCCAAGAGCTCCTGTGTAAATGCAACAATATCCAGAGGTAAAGAATTGGCTTATGAAAGCTATAACCCAATCAGTTCATCCTAGTTTGAACCTACAAACTGTGTGGTAATTGTAAGCAGATGAGACATGATTGGAAGAGTTGGGTCACTGGGGTGTGTCCTGAAAGGATGCATTGCCCCTGTGGCCCCTCCCTTGCTTGTTCTTTTTGCTTCTGTGTCCAAAGTCACCTTCAGGATTCAAGCAAACCCTTAGCTGTGAGCTGTAACAATTGTAAAGCAATTTACATGCTTTCAATATACAATAGCACAGAGAAAACATCCATCCAAAAGGGAGGAATAGGGACAAGAAGGAATGGGACCAAAGCAAAATCGAAACCCAGTGGGGCAAATGTTAAGTCCCAAAACTCTATGTCCAGAAACTGAAGTATGTGGTGGTTTTCTTGCAGTCTGGCCAGACAAAGCACTAAAACTGGGATCAAGGAAGTAGGTTTGTTGAAGAGACTACCACCACTAAAACAAAGTTAATTGTCTTGCAGAATGACATAGTGTTATAGTTTAGATGTGAGATGTCCCCCAAAAGCTCATGTGTGAGATAATGTAAGTGTGTTTCTTCTGGGCCTTGTATATTGGAAGCATGTAAATTGCTTTATAAGTTTTATAGGAACTGACAGCTAAGGGTTTGCCTTGAGTCTTGTAGGTGACTATGAACTTAGATTTTTTGAGCAATGCTGGAACTATGGAGATTATGGGTACTCTTGCAGATGAACACAAATGAATTTTGCATTGTGAGGTAGTCATGTGATTTTGGGGTCCCATGGATGGAATGTTATGATTTGGATCTGGAATATTGCCCCTAGAAGCTCATGTGTCAGTCAATGCAGTAATATTCTAAGATGAAATGATTGGATTATTAAGCATGTGATCTTATTAGTGGATTAACTTATTTGATGGATTAATAATTTCAATGAATTTACTGGGAAGTGATAAAAAAAACTATAGGTAGGTGGGTCATGGCTGGAAGTAGTTTATTGAGGCATGGCTTCAGGACTATGTCTGTCCTTGACACTAACTCTTTCTTGATTTCCTGGCTACCCTGAGCTGAGCACCTGTCCTCTGCCATGCCCTTCCACCATGATGTTCTGTGTCACCCCAGGACCAGATCAATTGTTTTAACCCACCATGGATTGAGTCCTCTGCAACCATGATCCAACATAAACTTTTCCTCCTCTTAAGTTGGTCTTTTAAGTATGTTGGTCATAATGATTAAAAGCTTACTAACAGTTTCTTACAAAATAAATGCAAAATTTTTTTTTTTTAAAAATATATTTTTCCCTTCTTTTTTAGATTTTATTCAAATATTTCTGATGGTAAAAGGTGAAAATTCTTTGAAGATGAGATGTGAAATGGAAGAGAAGGATTCAATGCTTAAGTCTACTGGTAATTCTGATAAAAATTTATGATGAAGAAGTATAACATTTTGAGTCATTTCAATGAAATAGTGAACAAGGCCAAGGATAGTCAAGAAATTTTGAAGAACAAATTATAGGACTTATTCTGTATGATAATATAAATCTATGATAATGCAAGCATTTGGTTTTGGTACAATGATAAGTGTACCAATAGGTTAATGGAGCAGAATTAAAATTAAGAAATAGACCCAGACATACTAGCCATTTGATTTAGAGAAAAAGTAGCACTAAAGTGTAGGGGTAAAGGCAGAATTTTCAAATAACTTGGTCAATTTGTTATATAAGTAGGAAGAAAGTTAACCTTGGATTCTACCTCACAACAAACACAAAAGAATTATTGCCAGGCGTTTTTTACTTGTAGATCTAAATGCAAAGTGTAAAGCAGTTAAGATTCTAGACAAAAACAAGGAAATTATCTTCCTGATCTTGGGTCAGGGAATGATTTCTTAATTGGGCCATAAAAGGAACTAATCATTAGGGAAAACATTTATAAATTGGACTTCAGTAAATTATGAAATTCTCTTCAAGTGTGTAAACAATAGAGTGAAAAGAAACCAGAGTGGAAGATGAAATTTGCCCCAGTTATAATCAACTGAGGAGTCATATCTAGACAAAAATATACATATATATATTGAATGTCTACAAATAAATAAGGAAAAGATGGACAACCCAATAGAAAAAAGGACCAAGGCACTATAATCTACTTCACAACCCATTATATCTGAATGGCCAAAAGCATATGAAACATACTCAAACTTCTTAGTCATTAAGAAAATGTACTTTAAAATAATATGATGATGCAGTCTCTGTAAGAACTAAAATAAAATAATTGATTATGCAAAACACTGAATGTGGGGAAACTAGAATTATCTTGTGTTTCTAGTGGGAATATCATTTTATTCTTATTTATCAATTATCTGTCAGTTCTCCTAAGTTTGTTGGACACTAGATCTTGGTAGCAGATAGGCTGCTCTGTGCTATGATAGGGTGACAAGGGGGAGAAGAAACATACTATTGTGGTTCTCAAATAGTCACAAGAAGACAGTGGTAATAAAGAAACTATTTCTCTCCTAAACATTTTAATGGGTGAAGAGCAATATTGCCACTTTCCTAGTTAGTTTGGGACATACCTTATCTGTTTAAAAAATGTTATGAATTTTGCCACTTTATTTAATGAAGAAGATATTGACTCTCCATAGCTAACAGGAATAAAATAAAAAGGCATAAAAATCCCTTAAATGTTGCTATTGAGAACTTCTAATGAATTACATAGAAAGCGTTCTAACATCAGTAGTAAAACTATTTTACCAGATAGTAGTGTCTGACCCTATCAGGATCAAATCTGACTCTATCAGAAAGTGTTACTTTACATCAAAATGTGTTAAAGATGGTTTATCCATTGCCAATGACCATAATAGAGAAAAAGATGCGAAAGAGAAAAAAAAGTGTTCAGAGGAGAAATATTAAGAAATGATTTACCCCTAGTTAACAGGTAAAACCAGAACCAAATTTCCATATTATGTTATCAGGTACATCTAAATTTTTCTGCAGGTAACAATTGGAAATTGATTGTTCTACAAAATGCTCTACTTTGAACAAGTGCAAATTGAAAGTCTAAAAACTTACTAGATTAAAAACAAAGATTTGGAAGCAGGATCTGGCAATCCAGTGCTGATAGTCTTGGCCATAGTAGGACAAGATGTAGTGCTATTTTCTGAAACCTAGCAGAAGAATCCTAGATGGGGCAAAGCTCTCTTACTGCCAGAATGTTTAAATTGCAGGAACTGGAGACTAAAAGTAGAATCTCATATCATTCTTATGTTTGTTAATCATATAAATGCATTCAAAAATTTTTCAGAATGTAGGTTCAGTCATTACTAATAAATAGGAGCTACCTAGTGTATTTGATGCTTGAAGTAAATTGTGTATTATAGGTGAATTTTAATATAAGTGAAGCATCAAATGGTTGAATCTAAGCAATTATTAAAATTTCCCACTGATGGATATTTTATTTTCTCAATTCGTATTTAGTTTTAAAACAAAAAACCGACAAGTTTTAAAACAAAAAAATCTATTAAAAAAGAGTAAATGCCCATTTAAAGGCACTTAATAGTTTTAAAGACTTAATTTGGAGATAGCTAAATATTTTGTGTATAAAGTAAAATTTGCACTTAAGGAATTATTAATTTGTATAATTCAGACTAAAGAATTTACCTTGAGTATCTTTTTTTAAGTTAGTACATCAGCAAGAAGTTATCTTACTCTTTTAAAATATATATATGTGAATGTCTTTATTTTGCCTTAATTTTTGAAAGATAGTTTTGCTAGATTCCTCTTGGTCAATGGTTTTTTTCCTTCAAACACTTTGAGTATGTTATCACATTGCCCTCTGAACTCTATTGTTTCTGATGTTAAATCAATTGTTAGTCTTGTTGAGGTTACCTTCTATGTGATTTGTTCTTTTCTCTTGTGCTTTTAAGATTTTCTCTTTTCCTTTTTATTTTATTGTGTTAAAAACAATATGATTTCTATTTGCTTAATTAAATTTAAGTGTACAATACATTATTGTTGACTACAGGTACAATGTGGTACAGCAGTTTTTTTTTTTTTTAACTCAACTGAAGGAAGAATATACACAGGAGAAAAGACAGTCTCTCTAATAAATGATGTTGACTTGTTTAACTGAAACTTTATTCTTACTGATTAGTAACTCTCCATTTCCCTTTTTCTCCCAGCTCTAGAAACCACCACACGAGTCTTTGGTTCTATGAGTCTATTTTAGATATTTGATATCAGTAGAGTCATATATTATTTGTCATCCTGAGATGCACTTATTTTACAGCATAATGTTCTCAAGGTTCATATATATTATCACAGATTGCAGAGTTTCCTTCTTTATAAAAACCAAGTAGTATTCAAATGCATGCATAAAGCACATTTTTTTAATTCATTTGTTGATGGATATTTAGGTTGTTTCCACATCTAAGCTATTATGAGTAGTGCTGACATAAGCATGGGAGAGTTGTATCAGTAGTATTTACATACTGATTTCAATCTTTTGGATAAATATCCAGGGGCTGCCTTATATGGTTGTTCTATTATTTAATTTCTTCAAGAAATCTCCATATTATTTTTATTATGGGTGCTACAATTTGAATTCCCATCAACAGCTAGCAAGAGTTCTAACTTCTCTACATCCTTGCTAAGAGTTGATATCTTTTGTTTTTGATAATAGACAACCCTAACAGGTATGAGGCAATATCACATTGCAGTTTTGATATGCATTTCCCTAATAATTAGCATTTTTATAAACATTGATCATTTTTTGATAAACACATTGACCAAATGTATGTTTGCTTTGAAAAATGCAATTTATGTCTTTTGCCCATTACATTCTTTTCTTGCTATTGAGTTAATAGAAGTTCCTTATGGTAGTTTAGATATTTACCCCTTATAATTTATAAGGTTTGAAAATATTTTCCTCTCATTCTATTGGTTGCCTTTTCATTCTGGTACTTATTTCCTTTAATTTCTTCATGTCCATGAAGTCATTACCAAGACCAATGTTGTAAATATTCCCTCTATGTTTTATTATAGTAGTTTCAGACTTCATGTTTAAGTCTTTAATCAATTTTGAATTGATTTTTGTATACAGCATGAGAAAATTTCCATTTTCAACCTTTTAAATGTGGATATTCAATTTTCCCAACATTATTTGTTGAAGAGACTATCTTTTCCCCATTGTGTATTCTTGGCATACTCATCAAAGTTTATTGTTTATGTGTAAGTTTATTTAAGTCTATTTCATTGGCTCATATATCTACTTTATGCCAATATCATATTGTTGTGAGAGAAAAAGAAGAAGGAGGAAGAAGAAGAGGAGGAGGAGGAGGAGGAGGAAGAGGAGGAGGAGGAGAAAATATAGATAAAATAAAAAGCAGAACAAAAAAGGAAAAATTATATAAATACAAATCAAGAGGGAAAAATTAGAAAAAAGAAAAATCCAATTAAAGAATAAACACAGAATAAGACAAAAGTAAGAGAAAATGGTGAGATATAAAAAGTAATAATAAAAGAACAGATGGAGGAAAGAAAATGGGTCAAAAATTCTTCTTAGCCAAGGTTCTTGGAAACATCTCTCACCTGTTCTTTAAGATCGGAATCTACCAGGTATGGTGGGCAAGGTAATTAATTGCAGCTGCTGCTTGTTGTCATGCCTCTCAGTTGTCACCAAATAAGTTATGATGGAAAGCAGGCTGTGCCCCACTTTTCTCACAAAACAGGTTAAGGAACATTTACAATGCTCATATTCCCTCCAGAGGTTTTTAGACTGTGCCATCAACTTCCAGGGCTCACCTATAGTCCCTCACCTCCTCAAATAGTTACACACTTACTGTTACTTTGTTTCCACTCCCTGGAGAAGCAAACTAGGGTGAGTTATCTCTTGAAAACCACCTTGAAATCCCTGTTTAGCATCCTTTTGTTTCTACTTAAAGAACTCATTTATTTATTTATAAGATCCATCTAGTGGTGATTAACTTCCTTGGCTTTTGTTTTGTTTGTGAAAGTCTTTACTCTTCTTTGTCTTTTGGAGGACAGTTTTGTGAGAAATAGCATTTTTTTTGTTGGACTTTTTGTTCCTTTCATGACCTTTTGGGGTCTTTTTCTGTAACCATGGATAGTTTTATTGAGATTCGCTTGTATGTGACTAATCACTTTGTTATTGGTAATGTTCTCTTTAACTTTGACAATTTGATTAAAACATATCTCAGTTTAGATCTTTGAGTTCATCTTATTTGGGTTTCTTGGCCCATTTTCTTCCCTGGATTTGAGAAGTTTTCACTAATTATTTCTTTGAGTAAGCTTTCTAATCTTTTCTTTCTTTTGTTTAGGATTTCCAAACTCTATAAATTGGTCTGCTTATTGATATCCCATAGTTTCTTTAATCTTCCTTTAATCATTTACTTCCTTTTTTTCCTTGACTGAATTTTTTCTAACCTGAGT